TTTTTTTTTTTTTTTGCGAGTGGTTTTTACTGCTTGCGCTACGGCGAGTTAGGTGAGGAGGCACTGATTTAGTTTGTCCAGTTTAAAGTCGGAAGGCTGATGTGTCGTTTACAAATAGTTTATCAGTGAGGGCATGGAAATAACCAATTTACTTTGCGAGTAGGGAATAGGTAGCAGGCAACGAGATTTCCTGCACAATGGAGCCGGTTCATTAAGCTTTTGGAGTTGGAAGATACTGGACTTTATTGGTCGCTAAAGAAGACAAGGAGCAGGATGTCTACTCGAGAGTGTCGTTGAACAACTGTCAACGAGATAGGCGATTTTTAGAGGTACAGCTGTCAATCAAAAAAATTTTGAAGTGCTATGAAAGTTAAATGGTAACGTCGACTTGATTTTCATTGCTTTTTTTCTTCGTTGAATGAACTGACGGTTACTTTAGCCTCAGTGCTAACAGTGAGTTGGTTATATTCTCATTTAACTACTGGTAGGTAATGTTGAAAGTCATTTGGTTCTGTGAAGCTGAATTACCTTTGGAATAAAACGGTTTTTCTTGTTATTAAAAACTGATATATGAATGATTTTTCCAATTTGAGGCAGATACAAACATCAGGATTTTGGTGTGCTTTTTGTTTTCTGTTAGCAGTTATGTATGGATGGGAGTACTTTTTATATCGTACAGATATTCGCTCAGGTCTCGTTTGACGAATTTAATTTGGTATTATTAAAAAATTCAGTTTCCCATATTAGTCACAATTATACAAATATATTAACAGTGCAGTATCATTAATAAAATATATCTACATATGGGGCAGTTTTATCCGAGTGGTCGTGTTAAGAAAGCTTGTTTTATTCCAGCCGGTTCTATACCACCACTGATTGAACCGCCGAGGCTGTAGATCGGTTTGTCACCGTATTCTTCATCAGGTAAAACATGCATATAAGAACCAATTCCCTAATTCCGTAAAATTTAGTTTGGGTTTTATTAACAAACTGTTTAGCGGATTTTGTAAAATTATTCATCCAAAAGTAACATCGTATTTAAATAGGCATGTCATTGGATATTTTAAAACTTCTTTTGTAGTTTTCATCAAAAAATTTCCTCGATAATAATTTATTCCGCAAAGATGCAAGAAAAATTATAGATTGTTTCAGAAGCTTTAGAGTTGAAGTGAGGTTAATTGACCTAAGATGTTCTTCAAAAAAAAAAAACCACAGTAAACTTTAAAGTTTTTTGGTGAAACGCAGTAAACTGGAACTTTCAGTTCTGTCAAATAAGGTTATATTATAATTTTGATTTCTACTTTGAAGTTGCTAATTACTTGGATTATTACCTGATGATTTCCATTCGCAGCCATTTCCACTAACGAATAGTACGGTCTTAAAAGGCTTAGCATTTGTGAATCACCTCCACCAACTAGATCACCGACCTAAAAGATTTGATGGCTAATTGCAGTGCTGCTGAATTTAAGTAATTTTACAGCTGAATTTAAGTAAATAAAAAAATTAGAAAATTTCAAAACAAAGTCCATTCTTTGCTAATTTAATTTTTGGACAGTCAGATTCAATTCTTTGTAATACGAGGTATCACTGAAACGTTTCTGGGAGCATTATTACTACTTTTTAATGATGATCTTAATAGTCGCACAGTTCCTAGCTTCAAAACATGACTTCACTTGGTTTGTCACTATGAAGTTTTTTTGAGTGTCAACTCAGTATTGACAGCAGTATCAAAGCGTTTTTCAGTCAGCCACTCTTTACAGTGTCATTTTGAATGTTTTATAACGAAAAAGAATCTGTGAAATGACACTCACTATTATAAT